ATAAATAAAATCTAAAAAAAAAAGAATGATAATATTCCCAGGTTCACGTGTACAAACCATATGTTCATGCGTCAAAGATGCATGAACAGACACACATACAGAATGATATTAAAAACTAATGCATCCAGGGCCCTGGTGGCACAACGGGTTAAAGCACAGCACTACAAAGCAAGCTGCAACTGCTTCAGCACAAGTTTGATCCCAGGCCAGGGAGGTGACCCACATGGCACAGTAGACTTCTCTCTCACTGGCTGCCCCCCTCAGCAGTGTACTTCATCAATCTGCCTATCTTGCTTCCCACTCTGTTGCTGGTAAATCCTCTCACCACCCCTGCACCTCTAGCCTGTACCCCAGTTCTATATGCATAAATAATTAAATCTTAAAAAAAAAAAAAACTAAGGCTCCATACCACATGCAAAAATTAAAACTAGACTAATATCTCACATCATACACAAAAACTAATCAAAATGGATAAAAGACTTGAATGTAAAACCTGAAACCAGAAAATTGTAGTAGAAAACACAAGCAAAACATTCTATGATATACAAATTAGAAACATCTTTGAGGACTCATCTCCAAAATCAACAAAAAGAAAAGATAAACAGGTAGGACTTTATCAAACTAAAAAGCTTCTGCACAACAGAAGAGATAGTAACCGAAATGAAAAGACACCCCATGGAGTGGGAGAAAATATTTGCACTCCATACAACTGATAAGAGATTGATATCAATGACCTGCAAAGAACTTACAAGACTGAACAAAAACAAAGCAAACAACCCTACACCAGTGAGAATAGCCCATATTTTAAAAACTGGCAACAACAAATGCTGGCAAGGACATGGAGAAAAAGGAATACTCTTACACTGCTGGTGGGAGTGCAAACTATGGAAAGCTGTGTGGAGCATCCTTAAAACAGTAAAAATGGAACTACCATGTGATCCAGCAATTCCACTCCTAGAAATCTACCCAAAGGACACAAAAACACTAATTCAAAGAGAAACCTAGAGTCCTATGTTTACTGAAGCACTATTTATAATAGCTAAGATATGGGAACAACCTAAATGTCCCAGAAGAGATGAGTGGCTCCAGAAGATGTTGTATATACATTCACAATTAAATACTACTCAGCAATCAAAAAGATGAACTCATGCCATTTGCAGCAGCATGGATGGAGCTGGAAGGGATAATGCTAAGCAAAGTAGGTCAGAAGGAGAAAAAAAAGGAGTGTGGCATATAATACTGACTATTACTCCATTAGAAAATAAGATGAACTCTTGCCATTTTCAACAATGTGGATGGAACTGGAGGAGAGTATGCTAAGTGAAACAAGTCAGAATGAGAAATGTTACTGCAAAAAGAGCATGAAAACTCACAGGAATAGAACCCCTCTCACCAGTTCTGGGTCCACACACCTGCTGTTGCAACACTAAACAAGAACTTTGGAGGAGCAAAACAGAAAAATGATTTAACATGGTAGAAGTAAAACTATAGTGGAAAAGGAGAGCATCCAGTTACCAAATGGAGATGAAGGTCTCATCTGTAGCCTGGGCCCTAGGCCTGCTGCAAAGTCTTAACAAGTCCTGCCACTGCAGGGGCTGGCATGGGGTAGCAGGTATCTCCACAGCTAATGTGGAGGACCACTCATTCCTCCTCAGGGCAAGGGTCCACTAGTAGGGTGATCTACCAGTGGTTGAGAGCCCATTCCCTTCCTTTTATAAGGACTCTCCAAAAATAGTTATTTTGTTCCACCTCCTTCCCAGCAACCCACTAGCCTCCTAAGGACACTCAGCTGTCAGGGGTAGACAGGTTACTACAAGACAAACACCAGATGATTTCATTCATATATGGAATCAGACAAACAAAACAAAGGAAATGACAAAACTAAACCAAAACAAAGCCTAGAAATGACTTGAGAGATGAAGCTACTAGAGGGCCGAGGCAGAGCAGTAGCGGTAGGAACAAAGAGGGGAGCCCAATGGGCTAATGTAATGAATTATAGGTGCTTTTTTGTGCTGCAGTAACATACAACTGAGGAAATGAGAATCTACTGCCCTAAATCATATGCATTGTTATAAAATAATGTCACCTGAGTAACTTTTTTTTTTTTTAATTTTAAAAAATTACCATAAAAATCCAACTAAGGCCCTCCCTGGTGGCGCAGCGGGCTAAGGCACAGCACTAAGAAGCTAAAGCCACTTCCGCATGAGTTCGATTCCCGCCTGCCCCGGAGGTGACCACATGGGAGGCAGACCTCTCCTGACCCGCCTGCTGCTCCCCTCAGCAGTGTACGTCATCCATCTGCCTGTTCTGCTCCCCACTCTGTCTCTGGTGAATCCTCTCACCCTCCGCATCTCTGGCCTGTACTCCAGTTCTGTATGGATAAATCAATGAATCTTAAAAAAAAAAAATCCAGCTAAAACTCTAGGTCTATACCCTAGAGCTGGAAGTGGATATGCCAACAGCTTTACATGCAAGTTCACAGCATTTACTATAGCCAGAAGGTGAAAGTAACTCAAGCATCTCTGAGAGGTGATAAACATACAAGAACTGGTATTCAACTTTAGAAAGGAAGAAAACTAACAGGTACTACATGGATCAACACTGGTGACTTAAAGCTAAGTGAACAACACTGTATGTTTCATCTATGTGAGGTTTATATGAGGAGAAAAGTCTCAAGGTAGAATGATGGGTGCCAGGCCTGGGGGGAGGGGCAGTGGGAGTTGGTCTCCAATGGAGAATGAACCTATCTGAGAGGGAGGGTGGTATGATGACGTCGCAATATGTGAATGCATTTAACCTCACTGAAATATATACACTTAAAAGGGTTAAAGCGGGGGCCCTCCCTGGTGGCGAAACAGGTTAAAGCACCCTATTATGAAGTTTTAAGAAGCCACTACCGCAGCATGAGTTCCATTTTGGGCCAGAGAGGTGATCCACAGGGCGCTGCAGACCTCTCCTGGCCCACCAGCTGCTCGCCTCAACAGTGTACCTCCCACCTGCTGTTCCCCTCAACAGTGTATCTCATCATTCGATTCGCTCTGCTCCCGACTCTGCTCTGGTGAACCCTCTCACCACACCTCTGGCCTGTATCCCAGTTCTGTAAGCATAAATAAATAAATTTTTTTTTTTAAAAAAAAAGGGGGGTTAGCACCCGCTGCTCCCCTCAGCAGTGTACTTTGTCATTCGGCCTGTTATGCTCCCCACTGTCTCTGGTGATCCTCTCACTGCCCTGCACCTTTGGCCTGTACCCTAGTTCTGTACGCATAAATAAAGAAATCTTAAAAAAAAAAAAGGGGGGGGGTCGGGGTCATTAGGCCCTCCCTGTTTCCCTGGTGGCGCAGCGGGTTAAAGCGCAGCACTGAGAAGCTAAAGCCGCTTCCGCATGAGTTCGATCCCCGCCCATCCCGGAGGTGACCACATGGCATGGCAGACCTCTCTTGACCTCCGGCTGCTTCCCTCAGCAGTGTACTCCATCGATCTGCCTGTTCTGCTCCCCACTCTGTCTCTGGTGAAGCCTCTCACCGCCCATGCCCTTCTGGCCTGTACCCCAGTTCTGTAATGCATAAGTAAATAAATCTTAAAAAAAAAAGGGGGGGGTTTAAAGCGATAACATACATACATGTACGTATGTATATACCTAAAGGTTTTATTTATTTACTTATGCCTACAGAACTGGGGTACAGGCCAGAGGGGCAGGGGCGGTGAGAGGCTTCACCAGTGACAGAGTGGGGAACAGAACAGGCAGATCAACAAAGTACACTGCTGAGGGGAGCAGCCGGCGGTCAGGAGAGGTCTGCTGCGCCATGTGGTCATCTCTGGGGCCAGGGATGGAACTCGCACTGAAGCAGCCACGTCCTGCTTTGCAGTGCTGAGCTCCAACCCGCTACACTACCAGGGAAGGCCCGATAACATATATTCCACAGTTAAAAAATAAAAAGAAGTCACCCTGCAGTAGTAAGAACTACAAATCCAGGTATTCATGAGGCCCCTAACAGGTAATAACCCTGACACGCCAGGAAGCACCTAAAGCATCAGACTTTGTCTTTATCTTAATTTGTCAAGCCCCTGTGAAACTCGGGGTGAGAGACTAAGGCGGCTCAGTACCGTCGCCCAGATATTCCCACAGTGCTAATGCCGCGCGAGACTCAGCTTACTCCGACAACGCGAGCGCCCGCCCCACCCACCGGTACCAACACGACCCAAGGGACTCACGTCCTCCGGTCGCCACGAATCCGCCGCCGGCAACGCCAACGGCCCAGCAAGTTCTTCCAATCACAGGGCCCAAGAACGGAGCCAATCGCAAAGCGTTTCTCTCCTTTTGCCCCGCCCCTCTCTGCTGCCGACTGGCGGTTTTCAAACCCCAGGAGCCAATGAGAGCGGGTGCTTGCGCGGCGCGCCGGCCCTAGCTCCTGGCGCGACCTTTGAAGAAAAACTGCAGCCGAGGCGTGATGGTGGGGCCCGGGCTCTCTGCCGCCGCGGGTGAGTATGCCCTGGCCCTGTCGCCTTGGGGTTGGCGCACGGGGCAGGGGGGAAGAAGGGAGGCCTCCGACTCACAGTTCTTCCCGCGGTAGTAGTCCTCCGATCCCCGTCCTGCCTCAGTTTCCCCGAGGGGGTTTCGGTCCTGATCGCAAGTGAGATCGCAAATGAAAGCCCACGCCCTGGGCCCTGGTGAGAGGTCTGGGCCCAGCGTGCGGGATGGTTCGTGGGGTAGATGCCTCAAGGGCATTATTCCAGTAAGTCCGGCCAGTAGCGAAAAGATGTCATTATCAGTACATTTCGGGTGAAGAAATTGAGACCCCTTGCTGGGACACATCATCAGGAAGCAAAGCGCTCCCGCGACCCAGATTTGGCTCGTGGCAGACCCTGGATGTGGTCCTTCTTGCAGCCCCGCCCGAGCTTTGACAGCTGTCAAGAAGCGGGCCTCCGGAACCTGGCTCTCCCCTCCATCTCCAGAGCCTGCGGGCTCTAAAAGCTGGTAGGCTGCATCAGCCCCGGTGGCTGAGCCCCGATTCCCCCCCGCTTCTTAGTTGAGCTGGAACCCTTGCCTACCTTTCAAAATACTCGTGCTTCCCGGCGCACACCGTGTTTTGATGGTTTCAGCAATAATACCTGCGGATTGTCTGGCACTTTATACTGTATATAACAACACTTAGACGCATTTCGGTTACCATCTTAAAGAATCAGCAGCAGCAGGATTTGCTAACTGACTGAAAGTCACCGAGCTGGGATTCGAACTCATCACACTTCAGTAGCCCCTGCTCTTACTGCTGCGGTGGACCTAAAAGGTTGCATTTCTGGCAGCAGTCTCCTAGGGATGCATTAGTCACCGGAAACCACAACTGGCAACTAGGATTAGATAAGGCTGAGAACAGTGTGCACCCCTTGAGGGTTTTTTTGGGTGTTTTGTTTTGGCGTTGGTATTTCGTTTAAGCCTTCTCTGACCACTGTTCCCCTCACTCAGTCCCTCCTCTGAACCGTCATAATTTTTCCTTTGGCCCTTTCTTATGGCCCCTAGATTCTACCTTACAATATAATTATCGTTGTGTTTATTTTTCCTCAGCTGATAGATTGAAATTTCGTGAAGATAAGAATATTTACTTTTCATCCCTCTAAAATGCCTTACTTAGAAAGCCACCAAACAATACATATTTGCCATGAGTACCCTAACCTGGCTTATTTTATCCCTAGTCCCAGCTGAAACCATGTAAGGGTCTCCGCACACATACCAAAAAAAAAAAAAAAAGGAAAAGAAAATCATCCCTGTCAGGAAAAAAAAAAGGTAATTATTCGCCAGCCAGTTCAGAATTTCTTCAGGCAAAGAACGTGTAAGTTGTAACTAAGAACTGGCTACAAGCCAAGGCTCTGGAGTCAGGCAAACCTGGTATCAGATCATGGCTTTGCCACATATCAGGGTAACTTTGGGGCATATCACTTACCCTCTTTAAATTTCAGACTGCAAATACCTCAGAGGAGTGTTGTATGAAGGAAAATAATGTATGAAGAGTGGTATAGAAACGGACCCATAAATTGACACTGTTGACATTAATTTGGAGACAAATTTGCAGGACCAGGAACTATATAAATTTATAGCTCAAAATCAAAATGTAAAAGGCTGTCATCTTTTAGAGTATCAATCACCTGTTTAAAATCTAGAGCTAAAGTTCTGTTGTCTCCTCCGTTTTGCAGAAGAAAGGCAGAGGAAGCTCCAAGAGTACCTAGCAGCCAAGGGGAAACTGAAGAGCCAAAACTCCAAGTGAGTCTATCTCCCATGGTTATGCAAATTCTGTTGCCCTCGTTGCTAGTAGCAATTCAAAGCCTCTTCAAAACAGTCCTTTTGCTTTCAGTCTACTAGGGCTGTGTTGTAATCCTGCGATAACTAGAAAAGGACTCCAGTGCAAGCAGTATCTAGTGCATTGGCAAAGATACAAGCATTATTGTGAGAGTCTCCAAAACAAGGAAAGGAGAATCTGTTACCGACCATGCTGGGAGTTAACGTCCCTATTTTTTACCTGCCAAAGTAATTCTCATCAAGGCAGTATCTGTCAAGGAGCTGGGTAATGCTAGTTCCAGTATTTCTTTCTGAGGCTAAAAAGTCAGTTACAGTCAGTTCTCCATTATCACTGCACTTCAGAATCCTACAACCACCAGAATCCTACAACCACACGGAGCTTATTGGTCTTTTCCCTTAGAACTTACTCTTGATGTGAGCAGAACATAGCCATTTTACTTTTACCTCTGTCAGCATCTTGCTGACTTAGTGATATACTTAACCCACTTACTTAGCACTTACGTATTTTTTTGCCATTTAGGTTGTTAAATTTTTATTTGAAAATTAATTTTTACAAAGTTAGCTTTTACCTTTTATTTTAGTATCTGGTTACTTGACTCATTTCCTTGATTAAATCAACATTTTCCATTTACTTAATAATTATCAGTCATCCTTAGTTCTGGAAATATAGTAATTAACAAAACAGAGCTGTCCCTGCCCTTCCAGGCCTTATATTCAAGGTGGGAGAAACAGACATTAAGTTATGATAAAAATCCTTATTAGTCTGGCAATAGTTTTTGATTCCTGGAGATTGAATCCTTCTAAATTCAGCTCTATTTTCCTATTTTGTTTTGCATTTTCTGACTACCTAGATTTCTTTATTTCCCCATCTTTAAAACTAGATCACCTTCCCCAACCCCCAAAAAATCTTTATTTGAAGATACTTACAGAAGGAAGTTTTATAAAGAAGGGATTATTTTGTTTGGCATTTTATCTCTAGTATCTGGGTTATTGAATATTATGTTTGAATTAGAATATGCAAATAAGAAAAGGCATATTTTATTACTATTGTTAGAAAGTCAAATTTATGTATAGTATATCTCTGAAAAGTTTACAAAAAAAAAAAATTTGAGTAAGAGCAAATTTTGTGTCCAAGAAGTAAAATAATAGAACTAAGGAAGGGATGACAAAGAAACTTCTTGGTGAGTATAATTTTTATATTACCATATGCTGAAGTTCTAACAGATTTAAAATTGTAATCATAGTAAGTTTTAATCATTATACTTCCCAAGCCTTGTTGATCCTGCTATTCTAAGAATCTTATTTTCTCTTTTGTAGGCCTTACCTGAAAGCCAAGAATAATTGCCCAAATCCTCCTCCTTCTGAATCTGTAAGTAGAAATTAGTCTTTTAAAAAATATATTATTTTGAATGATTAGTGATAAAAGTAAGAGATATGTAAGAACCTGGAGGACATATATTGCAAAGCTATTACTCTTAAATATAAGAACAATTTGATCTAACAAAAGACAGGGTTGTTTTTTGAAAACTACAACATATTGCAGTCTGGTTTTATTAATAAAAACATTTTATAATTTAAAAACTCTTAGATATATTTTAGACCTCTTATTGTAAGCATTTTTTGAATACTTATTATGTGCCTGACACTTTTCTGACTTGCATTAATTCACTGAGTCCTTACTACCTTACGAGGTAGATATGAATAGTAGCCTATTTCGAAGATGAGGGAACTGAGTCACATCTAGTCATATCCCACATTCACATAGCTATTAAATGACAGAGCAGAGACCTTGTGGTCCTAACCACTTTGTTATGTTACCATGACGTCAAAGAACTCAGTAGTCATTAAAAAAGAATACTTACATTGGCTCTTCCAAGCCACTTAACAAGAATATACTTCCTAGTAGGCATGTTTCTGTAGATTGTGTATAGAATGGTAAAGAAATGGGAGAAATTAGTCTTTTGAAAGTAGCACATATTTTCATCTATAATAAAATAATAAAAACTCTACCTTAAATTTTTAAAGATTTGTTTTTATTTATTTATGCATGTAAGAACTGAGGTATAGGCCAGAGTGTGGGAGGGAAGGGTCAGAGGGTTCACCTGAGACAGAGTGGGGAGCAGAACAGGCAGATCTATTGAAATACACTGCTGAAGGGAGCAACAGGTAAGACAGGAGAGGTCTGCTGCACCATGTCAGTCAGCTCCCTGGCTGAGATCCCACTCACTTCCGAAGTGGAAGTGGCAGTGGCGAAGTGGAAGTGGCAGCGGCGGTGATAGCTTGATAGCCATAGCACCAAGACTTTAACACCTGCACTACCAAAGAGGCCTGATCTCTTGACTATTGTAATAGGGCTGCAACAAACATAGGAATGTATATATTCTTTTAAATTAGTGATTTGATTCTTCAGGTAGATACCTAAGAGGGAATTGCTGAGTTATACGTACATCTATTTTTAATATTTTGAGAAACCACCACACTGTTTTCCACAGGGATATTTTCCAGTCTACACTCCCACTAACAGTGACAAGGGTTCCATTTCCTCTACAGCTTCACCAACACTGGTTATTTCTGGCCTTTGATTCTCACAGGCGTAAGATGATATCTCAAACGAGAAATGATGATGAGCATTTTTTTATGTGCCTGTTGGCCACCTGTATGTCTTCTTTGGAGAGAATGTCTACCTTAGCCTATTTAGCTCTTTTGCCTATTTTTGACACAGAAGTTTTTGATTGACATTGTGGTCTTTACAAAGAAAGTGTTGTTTTCTAAAAAGAAAAATGTGTACTGATAGTACACAATACTAGAAGGTGTGATGTTGTTGGGAGGTGCCCTATCATAATTATAAAGTTATAACATATTAATACAATGTGTATCTTTCCAGAGTCCCTAGACTCTGGGATATAATGGGCCTTCAGCAAGTATTTGTTTGACTGAGGCAAATTTATTTTTTAAAACAGCAATTTTTATATGTTCACTGCATCTCTGCCTAATCCTATCAAGTAAAAATCTGAAATATTTCTGATAGCAAATCAAGTTATAAAAAATCATCTGCGGCCCTCCCTGGTGGCGCAGCGGGTTAAAGCACTGCACTAAGAAGCTTAAGCCACTTCCGCATGAGTTTGATCCCCGCCAGCCAGCCGCCAGCCCCAGAGGAGACCACATGGCGTGGTAGAACTCTCCTGACCCGCCCACTGCTCCCCTCAGCAGTGTACTTCGTTGATCTGCCTGTTCTGCTCCCCACTCTGTCTCTGGTGAATCCTCTCACCCTCCGCATCTCTGGCCTGTAACCCAGTTCTATATGAATAAATAAATAAATCTTTAAAAAAAAAAATCATCTGCTAGTAAAACTTTACTTCCTCAGGATTCAGCTTTTTTCAATAAAATTTTAAATAAAAATCACTTTTTCTAGCATTTTTTTTAAAGATTTATTTATTTGTGCATACAGAACTGGGGTACAGACCAGAGGCTCAGGGGTGGTGAGAGGCTTCACCAGAGACAGAGTGGGGAGCAGAACAGGCAGACTGACGAAGTACACTGCTGAGGGGAGCAGCGGGCGGGTCAGGAGAGGTCTGCCACACCATGTAGTCACCTTGGGGGCAGGCGGCAATTGAACTCATGCGGAAGTGGCTTTAGATTCTCAGTGCTGTGCTTTAACCCACTGCGCCACCAGGGAGGGCCATTTTCCAGCATGTTTTAAGACACATTTATTTTCATTGTTATTTTTAAAACAATTAGATATTGTTATGAATTTTTTTCTTTGTCTTTTTCAGGCTATTAGACCCAAAAAGGAAGTTACCAACCATGCTGCTTTGCTTGTCAAACCTGCAAGGCCTGTCAACACTAAACATCAGCCCAGACCTGCCAATATTACAGGATCCCAGAAGCCAAAGATGGAACCAACAAAGTCTCTGGGCAAAAGGCTGACTTTAGGATGTGTTTCTTCTAACCCAAACTGTAAGCCTTCTAGCAGCAGTCAACAGAAGCATGAAGCTGGACCATCCACGAGTACACAACGGTCAAAGAAAACCAGGGGGTCACTTAATGTAACAGAATTTAAAACTATAAAGCTACAGGTAATAAATCAAGAAAATGCTAAATTCACAGACTCTGTGGACAATACCCATGTTGAAAATAAATCTTCAGAAAGCTTTCTGAAAGAGGTGATCAAAGAGAATTTGCCACAAACTTTATCAGACTCTGAGAGTAAGCTAAATCCTGAATTATGGACCATAAATAAGTCAAAAACTAACTCTTACAATCCAGCCAAGAACAATTTGGGTCCTAAACAAGTTTTGAGCAAAAGTTCAATGAACAGTACTGTTCTAAAAGACAGAGTTAATAAACAATTTGTTGGGGAAAGACAGATCAGAGTTCCACCAATAAAATCACAGCAACTCTCTAGAGTTGCAGATCTTGCAAGACCAGGAGAAAAACCCCCAAAAACAGTCCCCTCTCACTTTGTTCAGACTGTTAGTAGGACTCAAGCATCAAAGAAGCCAGCAGTCAAGGACATAAAAAATATAAAAGTTAATAGGGGTAAATATGAAAGTACAAATGAAAAGTTGAGGTCTTACACTGTTACTGAACAGAAAGTAAAACATACCAAACCCAGGACATACCCTAGTCTGCTTCGGGAAGGATTAAACAACAGACATACCAACATTAAACAAGATCAGAAGCCCATACAAACTTGTTTTAAATCTCGGACATCATGTGTACAAAAACCAAAAGCCATGAGTCAAAGACCTAAACTGACAGTTGGCAACTTTAATTCAATTATTCCAAGCACCCCTAGTATAAGAGCAAGTGGAGCCAATGGGAATAAAAGCAGTAACAGCTATCAACAAAAAGCACAAACGCTGGACTCCAGATTGAAAAGAAATATTCCCCAGAACTATTTTCTGAACAAGACTGCTCCCAAAACTCAAGCTGGTAATATAGCCATATGTGGAAGGAGAATCCCAAATGGGACTCAAGCTAATACAAATATTACAAAGAAGACGACAGCAGAGGACCGCAGGTATTTCACTTTAATTTAAAAAATTTGCAGTTTAGAATATTGTAACAGACTGACCACCACAGTCAGGAAGGAGGTCATAAATTATAGCTCCTAAGTAAATTTTAGCTCTAACCCTTCAAAGATTTGAAGCAAATACAAAAATATCAAGACATGACAGCTAAATGGTATATGTGCTATAAATCATTTTCTGTATGCTGGAACTTATTTTTTTAAGAAATTGAAGCCCAGAATCGTTGAGTAAGAAATAGGCTTATAAATAGAGACTACTTACTTGAGAAGTACCCTCGAGGGACTGAACAGCAATAAATGCAGGTGGGAGGAACAGTGAGTTTACAAAAGTAGAAAGTAGGGAGATTGCCGTCCCTTGTCAAGCAGACCAGTGGTTAATCTAGAAAAGTTATGGAAGAAGGAACATGAAACTTATAGAAGGCGGAGTTTTAGAAAGTAAACCAAGACAGAGGAACAATCTTATGGCAGAAATTAGAACTTCAAGTTGCCCATTATTAATGTTAATGCTTAAAATTAACTCAAAAGATTTTGTACACTTTCTGCACGGGACCAGACAAAGTCTCACAAGGTAGTGAACTTCCCAGGACAATCACCTATGTATTCTTTGTTGAAGTACATAGATTTAACCCTTTCTTAACAAGGGTGAAAGGCATAGCAGGATGATAGCAAAAGGCATTGCAGGATGAAGTGAGGACAAGAGCTGAATACAGCTCTGAAGCTTACCACCTGCAGGCTCTCTGCTTTCCTAAAGAGATGGAAAATATATTAATTCAGAGTGATGTGACTGAGAAAGGATCAAGGCTATATTCAACCATATCAACCACTGCTAAGACAGGATAATAACAAATAATTACCTCCTCAAGGAGGTGACACTTGAGTGGAGGGCTGAAGACTGATCATATAAGCCCCTGAAGCAGGAATGCTTGGATAAAGTTAGTGAGTGGTGAGAGGAGGAATGTTATGAACTGAGGTCCAAGATTACAATGTCTTTCAACATTTTTAATGTTATTCCAGCAGTTTGGGAATTTCCTAGCAGTAGCTCAATGTGGCTTATACTTACAAGATCACCCCAGCTATTGTACACACTACACAGGATGAATTTAATAAGGGGTAGAGTGGGTGCTAGGAGAGAAGTTAAGGGGGGCTGCTGCAGTGTTTCGCTCAGGGGGTGGCAGTATGTGGTCTAGGATAGTGGTAGTAGAGATAGAAGCCAGACTGTCCATTCTGTGATATCTCGGATGTGGAGGAAAGAAAAATATTAGTTAGAGACAGCTCTTCATTTTAGGGCCTTGCAGATCTCGATCCTATTTACCAATATAGAGAAGGCTATTGGGGGACAGATTTGGAAATGAAATCCGAGAGCTTTATTTTGAATAATTTAAATTTGAAATGCTAGACATCAAAGAAAAGATCTCAACTAGGCAATGGATTTTATAAATTTTGAGGCTCAAAGAAGAGATCTGAGGCTGACATGTACATGTGTAGTTGCAAAGAAGCTAGAGCGCCCACACCTGAAGACCTGCGGCTGCTTGTCTTGGCATCTTCCAGCAGTAGTCATCAACCATTAGATGCAAAATGGAGAACGAGAACAGTCAGGGAGAGGAAGTGTTAGGATTGGCACCATCCGAGAATCCTAAAATCATCCACTGGTTAGTGGGAAAGGGAGTCGTGTGTGGTTAGGAGAAGACTAAAGAACTTAGCAAAGAGGGTCACTTTGAATAGCCAAGACCCTACTGAAACCTGCAGAAGGCAGGTTTGTGGGTCACCTCTAGCTGATGGGCAGCTAGAAAGTTTATAGTGAGAGATGATGGAATGGTGAATTAGTGATCTCAGAGACAGAACCATATCTTAAGAAAGCAAGTGTCAGAGGTGGCATACAGGTGAAATAAAAATTTTCAGAGGAAAGAGGATTACTGAAGTCAAGGAATTTACAGACTGAGATGCTGACCACCTGTAATGCCAGTAACCCTCTGTCAGCTGCCTTTACCCACATGCAAATTGCTTCTTGTTCCACTTTCCTGATATTGTCTCAGTCAAAGGTGTTTGGTGATATTCAATCTATACATATAGTCATATACTGTAGAAGTTTGACTTTGTTCCACCCCTTTATTTGCATACCAGGAAACAGTTGGAAGAATGGCAGAAATCTAAGGGCAAAATCTATAAACGACCACCTATGGAACTTAAAACAAAAAGAAAAATAATAGAGGAAATGAATATTTCATTCTGGAAGAGCATGGAAAAAGAAGAGGAAGAAAAGAAAGCACAACTGGAATTGTCCAATAAAATTAACAACACACTGACAGAATGTCTGCATCTCATTGAAAGGGTAAGTAAAGGTGCAGAAATTTAGCACCTGAATTTTAATACAGGAAAATAGTAACAATAATAATAATGACTCCCACTTAAATAATAGCTCTTACGGGCCCTCCCTGGTGGCGCAGCGGGTTAAAGCACAGCACTGAGAATCTAAAGCCGCTTCCGCATGAGTTCAATTCCCGCCTGCCCCGGAGGTGACCACATGGCGTGGCAGACCTCTCCTGACCCGCCCGCTGCTCCCCTCAGCAGTGTACTTCGTCGATCTGCCTGTTCTGTTCCCCACTCTGTCTCTGGTGAAGCCTCTCACCACCCCTGGCCTGTACCCCAGTTCTGTATGCACAAATAAATAAATCTTTAAAAATAAATAAATAATAGCTCTTACATACCAGGCTCTGCTTTTAAGCGCTTTACTTACATGATGTCATATAATTAATCATAACAACCATTTCTATACCCACTTTACAAATGAAATTGAGGACAGTCCTCTGAGTTAGGAAACCAACTCAAGCAGTCTGGCTCTACAGGGAGCCAAAAGAAACTTTGCCTTCTTCATGTATCAAGGTCCAATGCTGACATTTAGATGTAAAACTGAAGTCAAAAGACAAAAGGCTAGATCATGTGTATAGCTGGACTGTTCTGAACATAAGTAGCTATAAATGACATCTAAATTGCATTTGGTTCTGCAGATAAGCTAAAGTAAGTAGTGTACAAGTTGTATATAATGTTCTTCCATATAACATTTTTTTAAAGATTTATTTTTACTTATTTATACATCCAAAAGCAGGGGTACATTCCAGAGGTGTGGTGGGTAAAAGGATTCACCAGACACAGAGTGGGGAGCAAAACAGGCATACTGACTGAAATACACTGCTGAGGGGAGCTGCAGGTGAGACAGGCATGTGGATCAGCTCCCTGGTTGGGGATCAAACTCATGTGCAGTGGCTGGCTATAGGCTGATTGCACTGAGATTTTAATCCCTGTGCCAGCAAGAAGGCCTCTAAACAGATTTTTCATTTAATTCTTGGAAATTTTCTTCTACAACTGTCTTGAGTGAGTATTCAACCTTGCTCTGTCTCTATTTTCCTCCTGAAATTCTTTGAGATGAACATTGGAATTCCTGAATAGTAGATGTATCCTTTAGAACTCTTAACTTTTGTCTCATATTCTTCTTTTGTTCTTTTGCACTGGTTCTCTGAGAATTCCACAGCAAATATTCAGCTTACTGAGTTATTCAGCCATTGTCCATGCTACTATTCTGCCCTTCTGTTGATCCTTTTTAGTATCAACCCATTCCAGTTTTATCTTAGCAAAATGAATGTCAGTCTTGCATGTATTGCTCAACTCCTTGCCCCAGGGTTCATTCTTTTGGTTGTTGAACTTTATGTCTCTCTCTATAGTATTGGTTTCTTCAAATATTGGTGGATCCCAAACATTTGTGTCTACCCCATCTTAGGAGGGAAAAAAGGTGCCGTTACTTGGATTTCCAGTACTTGGATTTCCGGACGAGGTCACTGTTCCCTGATTCAGCCATAGTCCTCTTGGCCTGTGTCACTGCTCTGCCCTGTATGAGACCAATGAAGCCTTTTCAAAGTTTCTCTCAGTAGGATTTAACCCACTTTACATATATCTGCACACTTACCCAATATACACATATGTACCCCTGTGGCCCTTGCTAGCCTTCATACTTCCAGACTGATTGGAAATTCTGGTTGCCATTCACTGTTCATATAGTGGTAATATGTAAGAAATATGTGAATTTTGATTACTCTAGTATTTGTTTTGATTTCATTATGGTTTTAGTTTTCCACCACATAAAAATGTAGAGCATGTTCCTTTCTTTAACTGACATTTTTCTGTTTGTCTCAGGTAACACTGAAAATTTAATGATGATGACTGTCAAACTCTTGGAAATGTACTTTTTTGAAATGGCTGCATTCTATGTAAACTATACCTCAATAAAATTAAAATATTTAGAAGTTAAAAAGAACTTACTGATCAGACTTATTTCCACATACATGCTTTGACAAATAACGGGATATGTGAGTAATAGTAAGATAATAATAATTACCTTTGGGTATTTTCTTTTTTCCCAGGGTGTACTTTCTAATGAAATATTTACTGTATTGTCCAGTATTCCAGAAGCTGAAAAATTTGCTAAATTCTGGATCTGCAAAGCAAAGTTGTTGGCAAGTAAAGGCTCCTTTGATGTTATTGGTCTTTATGAAGAAGCCATTAAAAATGGAGCAACAGTAAGTATCTGTCTTAGGTGGGTGATTTCTTGCAAATTCTGATTCACATGAGTTCTTTCTTTGCTTTTTGCTGTATGACAGTTATATAATGTAATTTTATACTTTCAATTTCATTTTATAAAGTTGTATACAGAATATGAAGTATAATATAGCCTTCATGAACATTTTAATTAAAATAATTTTTCATGGAAAATAGTATTATACATATAAACCAGTAGAATCACTTTTCATGTTAGTGGTATGTGTCTCACTTAACACTCAATGTAGAAATACGGACTTGGGCCCTCCCTGGTGGTGCAGCGGGTTGAAGCACAGCACTATGAAGCTACTGCAGTGCAAGTTCAATCCCCAGCCAGGGGGGTGACCAAACCTCTCTGGCCCGTTCCCCTCAGCAGCATATCCAGTCAGTCTGCCTGTCCTGCTCCCCATTCTGTGTCTGATTAGTTCTCTAACCCCCAAGGCCCACACTTCTGGCCTGTACCCTAGTTCTGTATGCATAAATAAATAAATCTTTAAAAAAAATACAGACTTATAGAAAGTAATAGTATAGAAAGTTATATCTATATCCAATACATATAAAGTCATACCTCACCATAAAAACCTAAAAATATATTAAAGTGAACATATTTCTGAATCAGTAGTTCATATATATTCATAAATCAGTCATTCAGAGTCTTTGCATGAAATAACTTTTAATTCTAAAAACCAATAAAACCTCTGTCTACTTTAACAAAGTTACACAGTTTTATAACTTTTCATCTGAACACCACTTTCCATGTCGCCATGTGTTCTACAGTAACTGTTTCCATGGTGATTGAAAACTAGAGTTGTGGATGACCACAGTTTAATAAATAGCTTTGTAAGATTCATTCATTAAGGTCTCTGCTTCCTTTACTACCCATTTTCTACTTCCCAGAGCAAAATTATTTTTAGACTTACCTCTACAGTTTCAGAGAGTATCTCATATTGCTGTTTCTTGATTTTTCGGTTTTAGACATGACTTAGGGAGTTCTCAACTCTGTAGGATGACAATTTAACCTCTTTCACAGATCCCAATAAATACAGACATACACACCCCTATCGCCCTGGTAGATTTTTACAGTCTTTCAAACTTCCATTGGAGTCATGGAAATTCTGGTCACTGTTGAATATTCACATTGTTATGATTATTTAAGAAGTATATGAATGCATTGAACTCTAGTATGTGCTGTTACTACTTTGTCTTTCAAATGCAACTTTCTACTCCTGCAATTAAGTACTGTTTAGTTTTTTCCTTTGCTGAACCTTCCAGAGGCCATGGAGTCAAGCATGCCAACAGTTAATTTCCATATTCCTTGTTTCTTCCCATTTTCCATGAAACTATACATCTGAAACCTTTTAGGTATTATTTTAAGAGTTTAAAAAAGGAAACATTCTTATTATAAAAATAAGTTCACTTGATATCAAGCAAATTTCTTTAGATCATTTTTCCATGAATTTTTCAATAATTTTTATCTATTTTTTTCTTTCCTTCTAGCCAATACAAGAGTTACGGGAATTTGTCCTAAATGTTTTGCAAGACCCAGACAGACCCACAGGAGGTACTTCTATTTTTGTATTTAAATCTATTCCTCTAACCACACAAGTAAAAATCAACATGGGGAAAAAAGAAAAGAATTATCAGTGTCCCTCTCACTTCTTGGTTTCCTTGGACTGACCCTTTCAGCCATCAGCAGCAGCTGCTTTTCTCAGCAAGTACATACAGTGCTCAACACTGACAAAGGCCGTCTCACTAGAGCAGGCTAGACTAGAGTGTCCTGCTTCCCCAGAGGCCCAAGTGGGAGAAGACAAGTGACTCTACCAGAAGAGACTAAGGCAAAAGGGAGACATGTTCAGTTTAAGTTCCATGTTTAATCGTAACAAATCCACTAACAGTTACACACCCAAGTTCACATTATCCTTTCCAAAATAACCATCTCAGGAACCTTTTTCTCTTAGCTAGCTATCATTGATCTGTCATTGGTCATAACCTGTAGAGACCTCTTTTCTGTGAATACTGTGCCAAATACCGTGAGTGGCACATTATAATTGCATGTAATATCTTTTATATGAATGGGGGGAAGGATACCTTTAGAAAATAAAGTGGATTGTTTTTATCTTAGAATGTGACACTTCTTACCCCTTTAAGCATAGATTTAATATTCAAGTAAGGGCATCTGTTAGATGTATCCACTGGTACATTACTGGACACAATGCTACAACTCAGGTATTGATAATACACGGCAGTATTCCTCAAAGGGAAGAAATGAGGAGACATTTTCCCTTACCATTTTTTGTGCTTGCAGGCCTCTGTTGGGCACCTACTCTCCAACCAGTGTCTGTCTCAATCTAATTTCCTTCCTTTCATTTTAGTTTTTTTTGGTTGGGCTATCATGCAAATTGTGCTGATACAAGACATTTTTACCCATGCCCAAGGTGATAGCCATGTGGACATTTCTAGGTAGAGAGAGAATAAAAAAGGCCAAGTAAGTTAACCCTAGTGAGTCAAGAAAATTGACCCATGATATGGTGTAAGAGAAAAAGGCCAGTGACGGGTCCCTAAAGAGGCTCCCTCAAGAGTGAATAGGGATTGGGGAAGGTGTGCAGAATGTTGAACGGGTATCAAGGACTCGGCCCCCAGTAACAGAGACCCAAGATGTTCCAGGGGCTGAGTAAAAGGATGATCTGATATAGCAGGACACTTTTACAAGGCTTACCTGAAAAAAATAGTTACATGTCCCAACTCAAATCAGTTACCCTTTGCTTAGTATATGGAGTTCACAAGGATCACTGGGAAATCATTCTGTATATACCTTTACATCTTCTTAGAGTCATTAAATTGGTATATCTTATTTTCCTTCTTGACCTTGCACCCACAGGAATTACCTCTAATTCCTTAGTTGCTGAAACTAATATAATATTAACAGAAGAGCTGTCCAAGAAGATGGAGCCTGGAAAGTGTTGCCTTCCTCAAAAAGAAAGGGAAGAGTTTACAGCAACACCCCAAATAACCAAGGGAGAACAGGATAATCATGCTGGCATCAAATTACAGGTTGCCCAAATCCCTAGGTAAGTAAACTCTAAAGCAGGTTTTGTATTTACAAGTCTAATTCAAATCCAGCTCTCCTTTTCTCCTCCACAGATCCAGAATGCCAGCAGTATATTCAGTCATCTGCCTCATATGAGGCCCAGGCAGTCTGGCAGTCTGTCTTTAGCACTGAGGGGCCCAAGTGAGGGTGAGGGGAGTAAAACCATTGTCGGGAATGTCTGCACATCTCCCTCCCCTCCCCCCATGCAGAAACCTGACCTGACCTGAAAGGGGGGTGCCCTTGCCCCTGCTGCCAGAACTCACCCCTTTCTCTTCACCCTCATTTGTCCTGCACCCATCTATCCCACCTATCTTTCCTGCCAACCCTGGCACAGAGGCAGGGGAAGTTTCAAGCAGGGGGAGGCCTTTGCACTGTGGGAGAGAAGGGGCAGTGAAAGGCCTCGGAGAGCAGGGGTGGCAGTTGGGTGCACAGGACTTAGAGACTGTTCCTAATATCACATATTTGGTTTTTTGCAAGTCAAAGTTTAAGGCAGATTCCACAGCAATTTAAGAACTGTAATAGGATATCAATGTCATTTTCTAAAACATCAGCAATCTCGAAAGAATTCCAAACAAAATATCAGGACCACAGGTCTGTATTTTAGTTCCCCTGAAAAGCACAGCTAAGTCTGTTCCAGTCCTGAACTCCTCTCAGACATGTCAGTCTGCTTACAGATGGATGAAAATGAGCAGCTGACCTGATAACCACCTTTTGCTGGGTCTAGAATTTATCCTGAGTGTTTACAACTGACTGGTCTGCTACTTTTGCTTAGACTAATACAATTAATGTTTTTTTGAAGTATAGGTCAGATTCGCTACTTGGAAATGTCTTAGGCTAGACACGTCAAAGGCTAAAGGATAGTATTTCCTGATTTCAGGGCTACATTTTTTTTTTTTAAAGATTTATTTATTTGTGCATACAGAACTGGGGTACAGGCCAGAGGCTCAGGGGCGGCGAGAGGCTTCACCAGAGATAGAGTGGGGAACAGAACAGGCAGATCGACAAAGTACACTGCTGAGGGGAGCAGCGGGCGGGTCATGAGAGGTCTGCTGCGCCATGGTCACCTCCGGGACAGGCGGGAATCGAACTCATGCTGAAGCAGCTTTAGATTCTCAGTGCTGTGTTTTAACCCGCTGCGCTACCAGGGAGGGCCCTCAGGGCTACTTTTTATTGGGCTCCATTAAAATGCACCAAGATGCCCAACTTGTTCCGGTTTCAACTGATGGTTTAGTCCACCAACTTAAAAGGCTTTTTTTTTTTTTTTTAAATAATGTATTCCAGAGCTAAAAAGAGCGTTAGAATTCAGTAGCCCAAACCCATTGTGTACTGGTCCAATTTCCTCAAAACCTGTCAGCTCTTTTGAAAGCTTAGGGAGTAAACACTACCTGCCAAGTAGTTTACATCAAGTAAAAATCTCAGTTTAGGCTTAATTCCATAAATGCCTCTGCTAGCAGATGGACGCCACCTAGTTCCAACCTTGTGACGGTCCAGCAAAATCCCCTCCAGATGAGAGCTGCCCGAGACACCTCTGTACATGAGCCTGCAGTGAAACATCTGTCACGTTTCATTATGGAACAAGAGAAAGTAATGAATAATAGACTTTCAAAAGGAGTTACCAGGTTCTGAATGCCTCTCTTGCTGTCTCTCAGAATTAATGGGATGCCGGAAGTGCAAGACATGAAGCTTATCACTCCTGTGCGACGTTCAGCAAGGATCGAGCGAGCTGTGTCCCGATACCCGGAGATGCTACAGGAGCACGACTTGGTGGTGGCTTCTCTCAATGAGCTATTAGAAGTGGAAGACACAGAGTGTTTTATATTCCGTAAAAATGAAGCTTTGCCCGTAACATTAGGGTTTCAAATACTTGAGTCCTAATTTCTTGATTTTTCCCTTTTTTTTAAGAAAAGGTATTTCTGAGCCTCCATGAGACAAGAAATGGCCTTGTCCAGGTGCCCTGGAAAACTGTAATAGAGTTATTGTGGGGGCAGGTTATGAGCTCTCAGGACTTAGAAAGTCCTTTTTTCTCTGTCCAGGTTCCTACTCTCATTTTAAATCCCCACCAAAACATCTGGTTTATTTAAAGCTGTTAACTTGCCAGGTTTGCAGCATACATAAATTTCCAAGCATTGAAGTGATAATTTACCCCACAGATGTGGTAAAAATTTGTGCTTTTTTGATGTACTTTAATCCCTACCTGATTCCTTTTTTATCAGAAGGGTGGTCTAGGATATGATAGATTTGTCTTCCTGCATCCACCTTAGCTGAGGCGGCAAGTCCTCTAGCACGGACTATCTGAGCTTAGCAATGAGCCTTCCTGGCTAGATGTGTGATGAACCATCTGGTCGAATCCCCTCGTTTTCTAGACTAGTGGATACTAGATATGCCCTTGCTCGGATGTTGCAAATTACTGTCATCACAGGGTCTCTGTAAATGAGGCGTAATTTGTGTCCTTTCCGTGCTAAGTCTGCTGAAACAAAATTCAGAACTGGCATGGGTATCTTATTTTTTATATCCAAACTTAATTTTACATTTGTAATTCAGAAATGCTTCAAATAGAAGCAGCAGGGAGCGAGGAGAGGCGTGGAGGGTGTTTGCTTCTTCACTTTAGTTCTTTGCTCTGCTAGGGGACACCTTCCTAGGAGCCGTGTGAGCCCACACACTGCTACGGGTCGCCTTTCCTTCCTCCTGGGTAACTGCTCTGAGAAAGCTAAGTCACAATCATTATGTAAATGCAGTGTACAGAAAACCGAGTCAATATATTTTCAATTTTAACTTTCTTAATATTTAAGTATTATCATTAAAAAGCTATAAATTTTGTTCATTCCTGCTTGTTCATTTACCTTAGTTATGATGGGTTCACCTAGGGAATGGGGGGTTTCCAGGGCTGCCCACAAGACCTCCCAGGGAGCATTCATTACCCTGGGGGAGTCGCTTTGATCAAGGGCCTGACCATCAGCCACCCAGGTACTTCAAGTTTTCATTGTAAGAGAAGCAGATCCATCTTTCTAGGTCAGATTTATGATATAGAATTGAGTTATAAATCCATAATGTTAACAGACAAACTCTCAAAGAGAAATATGTTATCACCACAGCCAAAATGCAGTAAGCCCTACAGGATACAGGCAGCTCTTTTCTCTGACTTTATCTGCAAAATCAAGTAATGCCCAAGGCACTATTTAAAGACCACAAAACCTATCATTGCAGAAGCTGTACTCTAGTGTTAGAACTCTATAGCTTCTCAACAGCTCTCTGTTTGGTAAATAGCTGTTCTGAGAAACACAAAGCTGGAGGGAAGAGAGAAGGGGGGGGGAGGGGGAGCCTTAATCAGTGGAAAGGCGGATTTCAGGAAATTGAAATGGAGAAATCAGTGGATTTCAGGAAATTGAAATGGAGAAATCAGTAGTTCTAATGTCGTTTAGGGATGACTTCTTAGAGGTAATGAATGTAAAGTGAGTTTTAAAGGAAGATCAGCAAGGAGGGTCACATACTCCCTTCCCCCCCCCCCCCCCCCACACACACACATCACTGCAGACCTGCCAGAGGACAAACAAGATGCAGGAGTTCACATTTATGACTAGGTGCCAGGTACACGTGCTATAAAAATATCAGATTTCTCCTACCTGGCAAGTAGTCCTCCTGATAAGAGTGCCCCACTTTTTTTAGGAAGACCTCTTTCCTAGTCACTGGCTGTGGATTAAGAGGAATGGACTCCATCCGCATGAGTACATGACCCAGGCCTGGCCAACCAGAACCTGACCTCCCCTGACCAGTGGCATTGATTGGAGGAGAAGGTCCTATTGCTGTCAACCTCAGTGGGATTCATTCCTCAAACTTGCTAGAAAGAGATTCTTTTATGGTAGATGGCTGAAAAGATAATGTGGACATCTGAAGTTTAGGAACCATCTTATAACTGTAGGGAGAAAAAAAAACAACTGTAGAAAGAAACAGAATTAATAGTTTACAAATTTTATTATTTTATAATTTCAGAGGTACAGCTTCTATAGGGCCAAGAATAGAAACAGGTCTGTTGGGAAGTGGGGATCCCCCCTGAGATCTTGGGGAAGATGCAGGTTTAACTGAGGGAATAGGCAGGGGAGTGCTTCCAGGAGAAGGAAAAGCAGGGGAGAGGCCCTTTGGCCACCTTCTTCCTTTCTTTGCAGGCTCTATTTCTTCCTCCCTCTTTTTTTCTCTCAGATAACCCAGATGGCTTAGGATTCTTCAGCCAGTTTATTTGTCCCCCAGGCCTTTTCTGCTGACTTTAAAGGGTGATTTTTCTATTTCAGGTCCTTTCCAGAAAAGCATGGGTCCTAGGAACAGAGCAATCTTCCAGATAAAATACTATCTAGCCTTTGAATAAGAATCAAATGTTTAGGGCCTCCCTGGTGGTGAAGGGGTTAAGAAACCGTTATCAAGCTGTTGCTAGCTACTATGGCATGAGTTCAATCCCCAGCCAGGGAGGTGACCCACAGGGCACAGCACACCTCTCCTATCTCACCTACTGCTCCCCTCAGCAGTATATTTCAGTATCATCTGCCTGTTCTGCTCCCCACTCTGTCTCTGGTGAATCCTCTCACCTCACACCCCATACCTCTAGCCTACACCCTAGTTCTTGTATGCTTAAAATGAAGAAAAATAAATTAAAAAAAAAAAAAAAAAGAATCCAGTGTTTAAAGACATAAGGTCAGATACTTTGGCCTTGTCTGAAGAATCTGTCCCCACAGAATAGGGCTCAAGAGTCAACCAGACAAGAAGAATGAAAGCCCCTTTCAGTACCAGACCTGAAGGCTTCTGAAATGCACAGGCAATGCAAAACTGCACCCTCTGAGCACATGCACTGTTGTCCCTTATTCTTGCTCAGATATTCCAAGTGCTTCCATTTGGAAACATTTAGTCAACTGCATCTCAGACCTATTCCTTCAAGAGTTTGTTTTCTCACATCCAACACATAGACCTATTCATCCACGTCTCTAATCTACTGCTGATGAGACCAACAGACAAAAAGCAACTGAAAGAGTGAATTAAAATCAGTGACACCAGGACAATGAACACTGCAGAGCAGCTCCTTCCAAAACAAAGACTCACATTTTTCACAGCATGACTTTTTATGTGTTTAATACATGTGTGCGAGCAATTCAAAGACATATGGGTTACCTCCCTGGCTGTCCTTCAGTGACCTGGAGTGAATGCACCTAGCACCAGCCAGGCATTACTTTCACTACTGGTGAGCAAAAGCACACGGGAATACTATTTCTTCAGCAGAAATATTTAAAAATTGGACATGAATGTGATGCAGCTCCGAGGAGCTGGGGGAAATCATTCTGCTTGTCAATGACTCAAAGGCTGTGTGGGCTGCCTTCTAGGGGGAAAGCAATTGTCTTTTCTCCTCCTTAAAGGTGTTTTTGGACTCCAAATCTGTTACATTTCAAAGATCAGAATACTGTGGTCCTTGCCCTCTTGCAAGTTTTCCCTGCTGTCAGAAAAATATCTCAAAAAGAGATCCCGGTACACATCCAGGATTCAGTGGGCCCCAAAGCAGCCCTCCGGGTCCTCCTCGTGCTCTTTGGCCTTCACCTGACAAGACACAAAGAATAGCGGTTACAGAGACTCTCCACCCAGTCACCCAGGGACTCCCACCAGCAGGAGAAACAGCAAAGATGCCCTAAAATGGACCAGGAGGAAAGGAGGAGTAGAGGGCCAAATCCCACACTTCCCCAGAGAACCCACAGCTACTGTTGGGCATGGCCAGTCCTCTGTGCCTCAGGGGGACTTAGACTGCAAACCACTGTTTGAAAGATTATTGGTGCACTTGAGTTCTGGGCTTCTCCTAGGCAGGAATAAAGTGGCTTAGGATCTGGCTTCTACTGCATGGGGCATAGGAAATGCTGACAGCCTGAAATACTGACACTGAGCTTACAACCACCAGCACACAGGACCTGGGAGATGGACATTTGAAAAGCTGAGCTCCAGAGTAGAAACAGGAAGCTTCATGGGGGTTCAAGGATGCAGAGCAGGGTTTGGAGCCAAGTCTGCCACTCAGCAAATCTCGAGTCTCCACTCACAGGTGCAAAGGTCAAAACTGCAGTCCCCATAACCTGGAGGCCTGGGGAGGACTCAGCCTGGGGAAGCACTGCGACCTCCCAGAGCAGGGATGGTTTTATCAGCAGAATGAGCCAAAAGTGGTCTGGAAGGTACAGGGCACCAAAGCTGCCAGGCCACCCCAGGGCGAGGCCCTGGGAGTCTGGGCTCTCTCAGCCAGTGACTCGGGCAACTGGACCAATCCCCATTTTTAAATGAATATTTTACTTTCCCCTACCGTGAACTGAAATCCACAGGTAATAGAACTATTGTTTCTCTCATTTAAAAAAATCCATTCATGGGCTCTCCAAGGGGTTAAAGTGCAGCACTGAGAAGCTATCTGGACAGGTTCAATCCCCAGCGAGGGAACTGACCCACAGGGCACAGCGGACCTCTCCTGACCCAGCCGCTGCTCCCCTCAGCAGTGTGTTTCAGTTAATCTGCCTGTTCTGTTTCCCACTCTCTGGTGAATCCTCTCACATACACCCCCCCCCACACACACACACACACATACCTCTAGCCTGTATGCATAAATAAATCTTTTTTTAATTAAATTTAAAAATCCATTCATTACCCTAATTATAATGTAGAAGAACTAAAAAGAAAAGCAAATTTTAGTAAAATGATGTGTGATTCTACATAAGTGCTCAGAATTACTCAAGACAAAAGCAAAAAAAAAAAACAAAAAAAAAAAAAACTCCCTCAAATCTCCAAAATGCCCCTTATCTGGGGATCCCTACTGTCGCCTATAGTAGCCCCCAGCCACCCAGCTCCTCCCACAGGAGAAGGGCCACAGCCCCCTGGGGCAACTCACCCTCTGGCAGCAGGAGAGGCGGCTGGAGGTGGGATCTGCGCCTGCCGGTTCTTGCTCCACAGCTAGCTCATGGGGCATCTGCAGGGACACAGTGCGGGAGCAGCTCCAGCACCCTGAGGCCTTCCAAGATCCTTGGTTACCTGAGCACCCACCCACTCCACCCTGCACGCACAGCCCCGGGGCAGCTGGAGAAGGAAAGCGCTGGCGCGTGGACTTGCTCAGAACTCCCAGGCCAGCAAGGGTGGACAAAGGTCGGGTTTCCTCAGCTGTTTCACCTTGGCACTCAGAGGTGCTCTTCCCTCACCTGCCTGGTCTAGCAACTGGATGGCTACTCTGCACTCCCAGCTTTGCGGGTAGGGATGCGCTAGTCCTGCTCAGCCCAGAGGTGAGACCGAGTTTGCATAGTGAGGGCTCAGCGCCCGCTCTGGAGCAGTGCTGCAGCTGACAGGAGGACCAGCCAGTCCCCGGGGGGCTCACTGGCACTGGGTTCAAGTGCAGCCCTCAGAGACGCAGTTCACTGCACTTCGTAAAATACGGATGGCAAAACCTATTTTGCCAGGTTATATTGAGAATTAAGCAGAATCAATGAATTAAAAATACAGCGCCCTAGCCCTCCCTGGTGGCGCAGCGGGTTAAAGCACAGCACTAAGAAGCTTAAGCCATTTCCACATGAGTTCGATTCCCACCTGCCCCAGAGGAGATCCACATGGCGTGGCAGACCTCTCCTGGCCCGCCCGCTGCTCCCCTCAGCAGTGTACTTCCTCAATCTGCCTGTTCTGCTCCCCACTCTGTCCCTGGTGAATCCTCTCACCCTCCGCATCTCTGGCCTGTACTCCAGTCCTGTACAAATAAATAAATCTTAAAAAAAAAAAAAATACAGCGCCCAGCCCCATGGAGGAAATAGAACAATCAGATGTCCTTCTCCCTCTTGGAAGACTGCTGAGGGTGGCGGAGAGTCCCCAGAGACCTAGTTACATGAGCAGGTCACGGACATCAGGCTCTGTCTGCATATCATACAATGGGAAAAAATGACGCTTCATTGGCAGAACTGACGCGCATGTTCAGGCAAGCTCTGCCCTGGTCAGTCCCACGGCTCCCGCTGACCCAGTGCCACTGTGGCCACCTCCACTTCCGGTCCCCAGCCGAGAGCATGGGAAAGCACACTCTTCACCCGAAACCAGCTGGATCTTTTCCCGCACCATCTGCTACTTCCTCTGATACCACGGAGCTGTCTCCCTCCTACAACTCATACCATCTCTATTTAGATAAAAATGAGGCTGACGTAGCTTCAGTTCAAAGCAGGCCTTAGGGTGGGGTAGAGGGAAACTTCCCCGGCAGTGAGCGCATCTCGGTGACTGGCTCCTCTGTGCGTTTCTGGCAATGAACTTGATGCCCTTATGTCAGGAAGTGGGAGCTGAGGTCGTGACCTCGAAAGCTCCTGGCAGCCGGGGGAACAGTGGGTTCTGGACAGAGCGTCAGGGATACCAGGGAGGTTCTGCAGGGACCCACCAGCTCGGGGGCCGCCCGATACAGGGAGCTGAGCGGGAAGTGCAGGAAGTTGAGGCAGGTGGCCGTGTAGAGGTCTGCGTAGCGCATCAGCTGGCTGGAGAAGAGCGTGTGGCGGAAACCGCAGCGGAACAGGCTGCCCATGGTGCTGTAGCACAGGTCCAGCTCCCGGGACACTCTCTGGCCAGAGGGGCAGAACACTGAGATCCCATCCCACCTGGCCCCGCACCAGCCTTGGGCAAGCCCACCGGCCAGGGCCAGACGGGGCTCTGCCTCCCTGGTGTTTCACCTGGGGGCACGCCCACAGGTGGAGGTCTTTGCCCACACAGAAGCTGCATGCTTCTATGCGTGCTCTAGGGTGAGGGGCAGCTCTCCTCTTTGCCATGAACCCCACCCCCTGCTTCCCTCCCAGCTACCTCCTTGGCCCTGGAGAGTGATTATGCCGGAACTAAAGCCTCCGCATAATTCACGTTCTGATGCTGATGGCCCCACCGAGGCTTTGCAGAGGGCCACATGTTCAGCCCCACTCCTGCTCCCCAGCAGGTCCCCCAACTCATCACCCTTCTTTCAGAATCTAGAGAACTGGTCCAGACACCAACTACCAGTGACCAAGAGCATGCTGTGTCCGCTCTCTAAGCCTCAGTCATCTTAGAACAAGGGTGGCAATCCCTCCTTAGCCCCTCTAGAGGATGCGGAGGGAACAAATGGAGAGCAAGGGTTTTATGCCCTGAAGATTCTGCAAATACCCTTCCTTATTGTCCCACAAGAGCCTGGGAATGCCAAGTGACTGGAATTCCCTGGGGGCTCCCATTGTAATGCCCCAAGGGAATTCTCTTTGCCCAGGACCCCTAAATTCACTGGCCCTAAATCCCATCTTCTCAGTCCCCTTGTCTGGCTGATCCCACACACGGACAACAGTTGACTATTCAGTATTATGAGGATCCAGCTCAGACAGGCACTTCTCCAGGAGGGTTGATGGTGGAAATTGAGGGACAGACACCTAGTTCCACAAATCACTAGCACACTACTGTCATTTGAAATGTGGGCCAGCAGAGGGCGCTAGCTGACAAGAACAGGTGGAGCTGCATAGGTTGGCATGAGCCAGCTAGATAACTGGGCTCTGGAGACTAACAAAGCACAGTCCTCCCTCCACCTCTCCGCACCCTGCACCAGTTCTTACCTGAATCTCCCTCTTGGTGGAGTTAATGGCTTGCAGCCCACAACTGCTCCCATCCATGTGCCTGGTGCAAAAATGTCCACGTGACCCAAGAGGAGAGGTGCTGAGCTTCCAAGCACCCTCCCTACAATCCATCCTACACTATTCAGGAGGCACTCCACAGCACCCAGTGGGAGCAGTGAACTGGGTGTGTGCATTGTGTGACAGTGGGAGCTCTGTGTCCACGCAGGCTGGGTTAGGAGAAAAGGCCTAGGGGAAGAAGTGAAAATGGCCCCAAGGGGGTCAGAAGGGTCCCAAAATCCAGCTTGCTTGAGAAGCCGAGCCCAAAGTGAATCCTCTTGACTTCCTGATGACCCTGGCCAGGCCTTTCCTGCCAGGCCAGCATGCAGCCAACACCACCCACCCCTTGCTACATCTTGGAGGACCCTGGGGCCAGGGGCTCACTGGTATAGGTCAGCCAGATGCATGTCCAGTCTTTTCAGTTCTTCCATCCGCTCTGAAACAAGGACAGAAGTCAGCAGGTGAATGACAGCCCTGCTCACACTTGCCTGCCCAGGGCCCAGCTCAGCCTGTGGGGAGGACAGAGAGGTGGTCAGCTCCCCCTCAGCTCCATACAATAGACCCTCAATTTAGGGTCCTCAAATCACTTTGCAGTTTGAGGGCCCTCAAACCACTTTCGCATATAACATTCTACATTACAAATACCTCCAAGTGCACTATGTCTGGAGGGCACTGGAATGACTTCATCATGAACCAATCACAGCATATTTATCAGTCTGATGATCTTTTATCACAGGGGTCCACTGTTTTGTTTTTTTTTAATAAAGGTGGAAATGTTTTGTTTTTAATTTTATGAATCCTTTTATACAAGGAGCTGATTTTCGTAAAAAAAAAAAAAAAAAAACTGTCCTGGGGGGCCCCCTGATGCACAGGGATTAAAGTCTCAGCACTGTCGGGCTATCAGCTACTATGGCATTAGTTCAATCCCCAGCCAGGGAGGTGACCCACATGGTGCAGCAGACCTCTCCTGACCCACCTGCTGCTCCCCTCAGCAGTGTATCTCGGTCAGTCAGCTTGTCCTGCTCCCCACTCTGTCTCTGGTGAATCCTCTTACCTCCCCACCCCCTCACCTCTGGCCTATACCCCAGTTCTTGTGTGCATACATAAGTAAAAATGACTCTTAAAAATAAATACTGTGCTAAATCTGAACTGTTTGGGTCCTCAGTGACCCCTGACCCCAGAATACTTCAAGTGGGGGAGTGGGCCTTGTGTTGATGAAAATCTTCAGGGAGGATGGGGAAGGAGGCCTCAGAAATACCAGGGGTCACTGAAGTCAGGAGGCAGGGACTTGAGTCTGAGCTTTGCCCCTTCTGGCTGTGTGACTTTGGGCAATCTGATTAACCTCTCTGGCTCACTTCCTCTTGTGTAAAACAGATCCACTCTCCTAAACCACAAAGCAGACAAGACTCTCATGGCCACTCGTGATCCCCCACAGTCAAAGGGGACGATGACCAGGCATCCAGTGCCACCAAGCTAGTTCCTGAGCCCCATGGCTCACCCTTCTCCCGGGCCCAGATGCCCAGCTCCCAGGACAGCTCAGGAACCACCAGGCAAGTCCGCCAGCCCTGCTGCTTCTTGGATTTGAGGATGTCCCCAAAGATGTGGCCTCCGATGTAGAGGAAGTCCTTGCCCCGCACCCGGAGCAGCTCACACACCACATCTGAGGAGCCTGCGTCACCGTGAACCGTCAGGCTTGCTTACAGCCCTCCGTGTCCTGGCGGGCATGGTAGGGACATGGGCTCCCAGTCAAGGGAGGCGCCTCTGGAGGGGCAGGGAGAGGACGGGAGGGGGGAGCTGGTACCTCCAGAGTAGACGGCGCAGTGCTGGTGGGACCCGGTGTAGGTGCCCACACGGAGTTTGCCCGAGTCCTGGCAAAGGCAGAAGGGCAACTTCTGGGTGCTGAGGGAAGGCAGCACCAGGAAGGAGGCCGTCCTGAGCCATGCAGGGTTTCCGCCCCAGGGACAGACAGACCAGACAAGCCTGCCCCGCCAAGCGCAGGTCAGGTGAAGAGGCAGACTCCCTCCCCAGCCTGTGGTGCACCGTCAAGGTGAACAGGGCCTCAGCATTACCGTGTTGACCTGTCTCAGCACTGTGCCCTCTGCAAAGAAGCGAGGATTCTGCGTGTCCACCACAATCAGGTCAAAGTAGGACCTCCAGGGCCTGGCCGAGGTGTCTGTCTGCTGCGCAGGTGCGAGGAGCGTGTTCAGACGCACACTCAGCCTGGAAATCTAACCCTGATGCAGCTCCCCCATCCTCAACCACGTCACCCCCACCCCCCGCTCCGCCGGGGCCGGCTGGGCCACCAGCTGGAGCCCAGCTGGGGCTTGTGCAAGCCTGAGTCTCCAGCGTCCACGTGCCCTGGTCTGCCGCCCGGTTAACGGTGCTTGTTTATGGAGGCTGGTGTGAGGCATCGCATGGATTCTTGTGTCCCCTCCACACTGTTCCTTACCATGTGGTCAGAGGCCACGAGACACGGGACAGCTGTGGTCAACTCACCTGGTCACACTGGAGTCACAGGGCATGTCTCCTACTCCCCTCCTGGGCCTGTACAAGCTCATCTCAGCCCTTCCACCCGCAGAGACACACCCAAACCTCTGACTGCCTTGTTGTGCCTTTCTGTAAGGGCCTGAGAGGCGGTTCTCCACCCTTTCGGTTTCCGCCTAAGCCTGGCAGATGTCCCTGGCCTCTCACCCACAGGGGAAGCTCGACAGAGGCCCAGCCATGTGAACTGACCTGTCCACACACTAGACTCTTCCTCAAGGAGACCTGGACATGGCACTGCCTGTCCTTTCCCGGTCTTGGTCAACCCACCCAGCAGGCACAGGGCACTTACCTCACCAACCCCAAACAGGTAGGTCATGATAGCCTGGCAAGGACAGGGCAAAGGTCAGGCCCTCCTGCTAGACTGGACCAGGGGCCACCACCTTCCTCTGCCCTCACCCCTCAAGACACACTAGGAACAGTTGTAAGACAGTGGGGATGCTGCTCATTTTACCTTAAAAGACCAAAAAATGGAACCCAAGACACCAACCAACCAGGTGATGGGGGCAGCAGTCACCCGAGCCCCTCACTGTTTCCTGCAGTGCCTCAGTTTCCCCCAGTCAGGAAGAAGGTGGTCTCCTGTACCTTCATCAACACTCACATCTGTGTAGTTGTAGCTGCTGTTAGTGGCCAAAAACACTTTCCCAACCTCCTTCATCTTGCCCAGGAGAATGGGGATTTGCTCCTGGGACAGAGATTGGATGGAATTCTATGGGTGTGGTCTCCCAGAGAAGTCCTGGGAGCCCTTTCAGGACTCAGCTTCCTGGGTCCAGCCCAGCCCAGCCCAGCCTTCCATCAGGCAGGAAGGTCCTGAGCAACACCAGGCTACTCAGCTCTGTCCAAATCTTCATGAAGGGGGTGAGGGGAACAGCCCTACTGTCCCGGGGAGCAGGGGGAGAAAGAGATAGGCCTAATCATGACCCTGGGCCTGTGGCTACTCACATATTTCTCTAGGTCTTCCAGAGTCTTCTCCTTGAGACAACCCTGCAGGAGGAAGGACATTGTGTATGAGTGTGTGTGTGTGTGTGTGTGTGTGCGCGCACCCATGCACCAGCCTACATCCAAGATGGGGGAGCCAAAGGTCCCCAGTCCTCAGTGGGAAGAAAAGTAGAAACCTGATGGGGTTTGGAGGCCCGGGGGTTGGACTAGGAGAGTCAAGCAGGGACAGATCAAGGGTCCGGGGTGGGGGGGGTTCCTGGGCTACTCACTGACTGGCGGACATTATCCATGGCATCAGTGACATCTTGGAAGAGGCTTTGGAGAGGTTTCCATGTTGGTAGCCAGTGTCACAGCTGGCACAGAACAAGAGAGGACGGGGAGGCTGATGGGGGGCCTGAGGTAGCCACCACCCTAGAGCCTATACCAGAGAGACCCCTCTACTCTCTAGTCTCTGAGGCTGACACATGTTCTAGACATTCAGAAGGGGTGTTACCCAATGTTGAAGGTTATCACTTGAGGGACACTAGTTACAAGCTTAGGGTCCCACTGCAATGAAAGCCTTTTTGCTGCGCTCCTATAACCCCTCAAGTCCCCTTGAGAGACTTCGCCTTTGGAGGGTCACCCCCAGGCAGTGACATCCCGTGGTCACCCAGGGCCAGGCAGGTCCCAGGATGCACTTGGTGTAGCGAGAGCAGCCAGAGAAGAAGTCCACCAGGCAGGCGTAGAGGTAAGTTTCTGGGGTGGAGACTGAGTCAGTCACTGGCCAGAGATCCAGGCAGCAGCCCCCCAGGCTTGAGTTGGGCCTCCCCACACCCCCATCCACCCCTCACCTGGCAGGTTGAAGAGAGTGTTGAGGAAGTGGAAACGCTGCAGGTGGTCCCTCTGAATGAATTTACTGGGGTAGAAGCTCCAGATCTCTGCCCTGCAGAGGGAGGTGAGCTGGGTGCAGCTGGGACCCCTCAGCAGCGCCCCCCAGAGGCCGGCCGGGCCTTGCCTCTCCTCCCTCCTCCTCCACCCCTCCTTTCTCTCCCACCGTTATCCAGCTGCCCTGATGAACCTGAGCTGTAAGCCTGTCGCCCCTCCCTCCTGCCATCCCCCCAGCATCCAGCAGTACACCCCAATTCCTGCCTGCCATCCCGCTCCCTTACTCCCTTACTCAGAGAGAAACGAGAAGCTGCGGACACCCAGCAACACATTCCCGTGGGCATCCACCTTCAGCAGGTTCCCATAGAGTGAGTCAAACACCAGCCCCCTGGGGAGAGAGCCAGGCTGCAGAGGGGTCCCAGGGCCACGGCTGGTGACAGCGCCCACCACCGGGAGAGCTCCGCACCTGGTGGGGAAGGCGGGGTCGTAGGTGTAGCGCAGGATCTCGTGAGGGTACCCCGATGCACACCAGGCATTCCAGCAGCAGCTCAAAGGCCAGCGTCTCATAGGCCAGGGACTTGTAGGCTGCAGGGACCCCAAGAAGACCCAGGTTGCTGGGTGCCCAACCCTTGTGCTGCCCTGCCCCAAATTTACTGAGCTTCCTCCTCCCTACCAGCCAGAGTGTAGTCCATGTCAAAACCAAAGCAGCGAATCTTCCCCAGGGCCAGGCTGCGATTGACAAAAATCCTGGGGAGGGGAAAAGATGTTAGAATCAGCACCCCAGGGGCCCTCCCTGGTGGTACTGCGGGTTAAAGCACAGCACTAGGAAGCTCTCTGCAGCAGGAGTTGCAACACCAGCCAGAGAGCTGACCCACATGGCCTGGCAGACCTCTCCTGACCCACCGGCTGTTCCCCTCAGCAGTGTATTTCAGTCATTCTGACTGTTCTGCTCCCCACTCTGTCTTTGGTGACTCCTCTCACCTCCTTCCATCTGGCCTGTAGCCCAGTTCTTGTATGCATGAATAAATCTTTAAAAAATAAATAAGCGGCCCTCCCTGGTGGCGCAGTGGGTTAAAGCACAGCACTAAGAAGCTAAAGCCACTTCCACATGAGTTCAATCCCCGCCTGCCCCGGAGGTGACCACATGGCGTGGCAGACCTCTCCTGACCCGCCCGCTGCTCCCCTCAGCAGTGTACTTCGTCAATCTGCCTGTTCTGCTCCCCACTGTCTCTGGTGAAGCCTCTCACCGCCCCTGAGCCTCTGGCCTGTACCCCAGTTCTGTATGCACAAATAAATAAATCTTAAAAAATAAATAAATAAATAAGCACATGGCATGAGTGTGTATAGGGACTGTGCTCCGGGTGCCCCTGAGAGCCAGGAAATGCAGTTATCATCGGGGCTCATGGTCCAAGTTCAGAGATGCCTTTTGACACAAGTGGTGGCAGGTGGGGGGGGGAGGGCCTCATGCGAGGTAAGGAGAGGAGCCCACACCCTGCCAGTGGGATCTCCCTCTGGCAGCTTAGCTGCTCACCTATGGAAGAGGCCCCTTGCAATGCAGGCACATAGTTTAAGGGTCTGTATATTTAAAGGAGCCACTCTCCGGGCCATGTAATATGGGGTATTCAGGAAATGGGGTGTTTACAGCTGAGATTACCCCCAACCCACACCCAACAGCCCATCTCACCGCTGGTTCCAGTCCTGCTTCTGGCCTTGAGAGACCAAGCCCCGTGGCCGCCCTTGCAGTTCCCTGGGCTCTTCCCCAGCCACGCTGGCCATCACCACCAGGAGTCAGGGCAGGCAGTGGCCCCTTCCCCAGTCACCTGCACACTATCAGCAAGGCCCAGCAGTTCCCCTCTCTCTCAAACACTCCTTTTAGATACCGCTGCACAGCTGGTCCCACCCGGGGCCTCCATCTCCTCCCCCTTTGCAGGAGGAGTCATCCAGGACAGTCTGTGGTATCCCTTGTTCTTCAAGAGCAAATGCAGTAATAGTCAGGGGCACTGGACAGGAAGAACAGGCAAGAACTGGAGTCTTGATTAGGTCTCTCCAGAAATGCAGGATTTGCATTCGTTTACATAAGAAAGTGTTTGCAAGTAGCCAATGCTGAGGGGCAGTAGGGAAATCGGCCTGGGGGGACAGCAGTCTGGAGCTGCCTGCAGGGAGATGGCTATGGGGCCCAGCTTGGTGGTCTTCCCCCTCTGCTGTGACCAGAGTCAGTCTCAGAAAGTCTCCACCATCAGGCACCAAGGTCCAGAATTAGTTCTGCCCCCCACCCCTAGCACAAAGGAATCCCACCTTGGGAGGGGACAGACTTGTGTTAAAAGGTTAGGAGGGGTCCCTCCCTGGTGGCGCAGCGGGTTAAACTACAGCACTAAGAAGCTAAAGCCATTTCAGCATGAGTTCAATCCCCGCCCAGAGGTGACCCACAAGGCGCGGCAGACCTCGCCTGACCCGCCAGCTGCTCCCCTCAGCAGTGTACTTCATTGATCTGCCTGTTCTGCTCCCCACTCTATCTCTGGTGAATCCTCTCACAACCCTGCACCTCTGGCCTGTACCCCAGTTCTGTATGCATAAATAAATAAATCTTTAAAAAAAAAATAAAAGGTTAAGAGAATTCCAGGCATTCCCTGGTGGAGCAACAGGTTAAAGTGCAGCACTAAGAAGTTAGCTGCAACCTCTGCATCACGTGTTCAATCCCTGGCCAGGGAGCTGACCCACATGGCGCAGCAGACCTCTCCTCTCTCACCCGCTGCTCCCCTCAGCCATGTACTTCATCCATCTGCCTGTTCTGCTCCCCACACTATCTCTGCTGAATCCTCTCACCCTGCACCTCTGGCCTGTACCCCAGTTCTGTATGCATAAATCAATAAAAATCTTTAAAAAAAAAAGAGAGTTAGGAGTATTCCAAGGACTTGCCTCTCCTGTCAAAATCAGTATGTGGTGTGAGTGAGGGCGAGTGTGAGTGTAGGCCCAGAGATGGGTTTCCATGAGACTGTGTGTTTGAGTGTGAGCGAGGTGGGGCGCCAGGGTACATGTGCGGGTGTGTGAGTGTGAGTCCAGGGTGGGTATGGGGAGCATCTGTGTGTCAGCATGTAGGTGAAGTGTGTCAGAGTCTCTATGTGTGTGCATGTGTGGTCAAGGGTGGGAGTAACATTGGGCGTGTGTGCATTGTGTGGCTGTTGGGTGCATGTGTGTGCGTGCTGTGTGTATGCAGGGGTGTGTGCGCATGTGTGCTCAACAGTGGCAGTGTGCAGGCATGCTGGCACTGGAGGCTGGCAGAGGGCATGCCACCCAGAACTTTAAAGTAGAGAAAACAGAAGATGATTCGTGAAAAAAACATCGATTACTTCAGTGTCCAAATAAAGACGAACAAATCTGTTATTTTTAAACTATTGTACAAACTCTGCCAATTTTTGTTAAGAAGATGAATTTAAAAATATTTAATATACAAAACCAGGTTGGGGGCTGGGGAGGAGCAGAACACAAAATTGTATTTACACTAGCATTTCCCCCATTTAGGAAATGCATACACAAAAGGACAAGAGAAAACACAAAACTAACATTTCAGGAGCTGGTTACATTTAATGACTTTAGAATCTAAACTTGCTGACATATGGTTGAATAATGAAAAGTAAACTACATAAAATGACAGAGAAACTTCAAGAAATGTTCTTGCTAAATGAAAATAACAGAACACAAATTTCTGAAGTTCTGTTATATACATTAATGTGGATTACATACTAATTTTGTTTTAAGTAAAACCTTTTTGGGGCCTCCAGGGTGGTGCAGGGGTCAAAGTCTCAGCACTATGAAGCTATCAGCAGCCACTGCCGCCTGAATTCCATCCCCTACCCTGGAGGTGACCCACAGGCAGACCTCTCCTGACCCGCCCGCTGCTCCCCTCAGCAGTGTACTTCGTCAATCTGCCTGTTCTGCTCCCCACTCTGTCTCTGGTGCATCCTCTCACCCCCTGCATTTCTAGCCTAACACCCCAGTTCTTGTATGCATAAGTAAATACATCTAAAAAAGAAGTCACTTAAAAAAAAAACTTTTTGTTATTTGCATCTCATCAGTGCCTGCCCCAAGCTAAGCCGTATGGAGCATTGAGGGACAAGCCCGTGGGCTGGGCACTGCCCACCGCAGCCGCGCCTGGGTGCTGAACCGACATAGTACTGCCCACGAGGTCCGAGGCTGCCAAGCAAGGGATGGGAGAGTCATCTGGGAGCCATGAGGGTAGCTCCAGGAGATAATGCCCACCAGCATCTTCTACAGAGTGAATAAGAGTTCCCTGGGCACACCACATGAAGAAATCCTGGCAAAGCAACTGCAGGTGTGAAAAGAAGGGAGAAGAGCTGAAATGACCTCAAGGCTGTTGCGGGAAGAGACCTTGATGAGGGTGGGAGACAGGAACAAGGCCAGATCAGGACAGGCGCCTGTGTCCTTTTAAAGAGGGCGACATGCCCCGTAGGTGGTGGGGACCTGGCAACATTTTCAGCAGGAGGAGGATGTGACGCATCTTATATTTAAAGCTGTCTCTGATGTTGGTGGGAGGACCGGCCAGTTGAGAGAAGGGAAAGCTGCTGAGAAGCTACTGCAAAGCTCAAGCAGGAGCTGTTCAGTGCCTGGATTACTGGGGAGGAGAGAGGGGCGGTCAGCCATTGGGTTGATCAGGATCTGGGACTGGTTGGCTGGAGGTGATCTTGGAGTGCGAAGGAGATGCTAAGGAGCCCGAGAAGTGTGCGGTCACTAGCCCAAAGAAATGAAGGTGCTTATTGGGCGAACATGAAGTCGGGACAGAGTTCTGGGTCTGCACCCCCTAACTAGAAACCACCAGGATCAGATATATTTCAGAATGCAGTGTTTTGTGAATTTAATAAAGTCATAGTGATTTACTATATCTATGCATGACCACACCCTCGGTGGGGTCTGGAGCAACAGCCCATGATCGAGCTCACTGACCTTCTTGCAGCCAACTCATGAATATTCATTCACACAAAGTGGGTCCACAAAGACCATGAGCAACTACATGTCAGGGTTGATCAAGGTTTTCCATCCAGTTAATTTGGAAAATCCTTTCAGTTATGGGAATTTAGAGTTGAGAAACATTGCATCAGCATCTGCGGTAGCTAAAGACCCAGCAGCAGGTGAGCCCTTCAGGAGACAGGGCCAGGAGAGAGCTGAAGACAGAGCCCCAGGGATAGAAACAAAGGGGGAGCAGTCAGGTTCCCCAAGGAGAAGTAGAAAAAAGGGTTGTCCCAGGCAGAAGCCCTAGAAGGAAGTAGGAAATTGTGACAGCATCGGGCCACAGAAAGGTCAAGAGAGAGAAGATCCGAAAGTCCCTGCGCTTGGCAACAGGTAAGTTACAGGAGACCTCGGCCAGTGAGACACCAGTGTCAAGGTGGGTGGCAGGAAAGTGGCAGCAAAAGACAGGGAAGCAGGAACAGAGCATCAGGCCTCCCCTGGCAGAGCTCTGGCCAAAATCAGAAAGGAGGTTGGGCAACAGCAGCAGACTGTGAGCGTGACATAAGGCAGGCGTGCCACACCAGGGTCACAGTGAGTGGCAACAGGGCGAAGGAGGGAGCCCTGTGCCCACCAAAAGTCATGTACAGGGCAGTTGGTGGCATTTTTATTCATAAGAACCCCTAACTGGGCCCTCCCTGGTGGTGCAATGGGTTAAAGGGCACAGCTATGAGGCTCTCTGCAGCCACTGCAGCATGAGTTCGGTCCCCAGCCAGGAAGCCGACACACATGGCGCAGCAGACCTCTCCTGTCTCACCCGCTGCTCCCCTCGGCAGTGTATTTCAGTCAGTCTGCCTGTTCTGCTTGCTGCTCTGTCTCTGGTGAACCTTCTCAGCTACCTCCCCGACCCTGACTCTGACATATATCCCAGTTCTTGGAAGCATAAATAAATTAATTAAAAAAGAAAAGAATCCCTAACTGGGAACAGCCCAATGTCCGCCAGCACTGGGACAGATAAGTAAATAGTGGCTTACCCTTCAAAAGAGTGAGCAATGAGCTGTACTATCTACAATAACATGTGTGAATATTACAGACATAATACATAAAAGCATAAGGATTCGTGTACTTTACTGCATATATAGCATTATACCAAAAAAAAAAAAAAATTAAGGAAGATGCAATGTAATTTTTCAGATGTGGAGCTGACTGGGGGTGACAAGGTTGACTGCCCCCTGGCCCTTGTGGGGCTGCAGGTCCAGGGAGGTTGACAGAGTTTGGGAAGGGAGGAAGTCACTAGGCAGGGTTCATAGATGATCACAAAACAGCTATGGAAAACTATTTTTGGAAGTAGATAGTGCTGCACTAGCGAGTTATTCACAGCCTCTGTTCTAATGAGCCTGGAGGTCCCAGCTGACTGTCCCAATTCTGCCTGCCACGTCCATTACAGTTCCCACTGGACAGCACTGTGAACAGTGCTCACCCATCTACCACAGACTGGGCAAAGGGAGCCTGGATAAAATTGCTAGTGAAACCACATGAGGAAGATGGATCCAGTTGGCCCCACATCTATGGCCTGTAGGGTCAGGCCAGTAGAGCCCAGTTCCTTTTTCCTCTGAACTGAGTCCCCTCCCTGGAGACTTCCGGCTCCCAGGCAAATGAGTTCTGAGAATACTTGCTCACCTGATCCACTCAGCAGCCACTAGGGACCTGCAGATCTGAGCCACACGACACACCAGCAAGGCCTCAGGGAACAATGAACAATAACCTCCTGACATAACAACTATTCACACCCAAATGACACTTCATTCTTATTTAATTAAAATATGTCGATAAAATGAACCATAATTGAGATGTGGTCATGAAAAAAAAAGTTATTTAATTCATGAGGATGAATTTTCTTTACACAACATAGCTGTATGTCAACATATACTTTTAAAGATATGCTAAAGAGGAATAAGGGTAGTCATTGCATCAGATCCTCAAATTCAGACGAAGACGGGTGCACGCAGAAGGGTGCTTGCCTGTGGGGCCCAGGGCTCACGCCCCAGCCAGGCGTCCCCTCTGGGGTTCTGGGCAGCACCAGCCCAGCTTCATGAAGAGATTCTAGGTCAGCGGAAGAGTGACCTAATTAAACACACAGGCTTATTCTTAGACAAGGAGCCCCAATTAGGGCCCCTGGACAACTACAGCACCAATGCACTGTCCTTGAGGTAACTGGAATCATTTTTAAATAGCAGTTTCTTCTGATTTTAAAAGTACATTTTCATCATAGACTGTTTAGAAAATATGGAGAGTACAGAAAAGAAAATGCCACCCGACGATGACCACTATTTTTGCTTACTTCCACACTGTCTTTTTTATACATATTTATATGTTTGACACTCAGAGAGGAAATGCTTAGTCACATAATGTAAGTGAAAAAAGATACAAAATTATAAACAGTAGGATCCTAAATCTGTTACGTAAGTTAGGATGGTCATATGAATACAGTGCTGTATCCTGTTTACTACACTCAGTATTAAAGCACAAACATCTCCCCCATGTCATGACATCCCAACTGCTTAACTTTTAATGGCCACTTGGCACCCATGGTGTAGAACGATACATAGACTACACCCCTGAAATGAAGCCTTTCAGTCGTTACTGACTTTTCAATACATTCTACAATGAACCTCCCTGTAGATCTCTAATTATTTTCTCGAGCTACATTTTGGGAGTCATGAGTATTTAGGACTCTGGTTACACATTGCCAGGTAATTTTCTGAACCTTCAAAGCAACAGCATTATCACCAGTAAATTACAGAATCATAGTGCCAGAGGCATATTTTGATTCTGGTAATAAAACCAGAACTTTTTTTTATCAACGCATGGCAGAACCAGCTCAAACACAATGGCCACTCTTAGCCAGTGGCCAGTTCCTCGCCACCATCTGGGACTTTATGACCAAGCATAGCCCTGCAGTTTCCCAACATTAATCAGCCTCCTCACAGTCAGGCTGCTATAACAACCAATCCTAGAGTGTCAGGGGCCTACAATTAGCAAGGTTCCCTCTCACCCACATGACTCATAGATAGTATGACCATCTATCTTCTAGCTCTATTCCAGATGTCTTCTAGCCCTGGGACACAGAATGAAAGAATGCCCCTGTCTCCACTCTCCTAGTCAAAGACAAAGAGCAGAAGCCCAGCCTGGCTCTTGCAGTTTACCTGGGACATGGCAGGTGTCATTGTCCCTGACTCTTACTGGCCCCAGGAAGTCAAGTAGCCTGGTGCCTACAAGGGCAGAGAGTATCCTCCTGCACAGGGACATACTGCAGGTCACATGCGCCATAAAATCTTCTGCTGAATGGAGAGACAATACCTGGGAACAAGAATATAATCAACTACAGTTATGAACCCTCAGAAACAATGCTTAGATTCCTCCTCACCACCTGAGACTATACCTGACATCTGAACCTTCCTAATCCTAGAAACTGCCATGGCCTCAAAGCCTTCCCTGCTGGTTGGTGAAGGGAGTCACCTAGACATGCCTTTTGGGCAAATATGAGGAAAGATGTGTGTGTGTGTGTGTGTGTGTGTGTGTAGATATATATTTATAAGTTGCCCCAATTTAAAACAATAAAAACATATTGTTAAGGGCCCTCCCTGGTGGCACAGCAGGTTAAAGCACAACACTAAGAAGCTAAAGCCACTTCCGCATGAGTTGGATACCTGCCCCGGAGTTGACCCACATGGTGCGGCAGACCTCTTCTGACCCGCCAGCTGCTCCCCTCAGCAGTGTACTTTGTTGACCTGCCTGTTCTGCTCCCACTCTGTCTCTGGTGAATCCTCTCACCGCCTCTGCACCTCTAGCCTGTACCCCAGTTCTGTATGCATAAATAAATAAATCTTTAAAAATATATGTATATATTTGTTAAGCTTGAGAAAGGGAAAATAAAAGCTTTAAATATAAAAGTTGCCATGTATTTTTTAAAGGGGGCAAATACATGCACATAATACATATAATTCATAACTATATATGCATAAGTTAATTCCAAAATTCAATAAGAAGCTGGTAACGGTGGTTATTTTAGGAAAATGAAATAAGAAATTGATGATGGAGGGGAAAGGCTTGCTTTCACTTTATCCTTTTTTCACAGGTTAAAATTTTTCATGGTTTTTTATTGCCTTCCATCCCCCCCCCCAAACTTTTTTAATTAAAAACTGCCTTTTCTCATCCTTTCTCACTCTCGTCACATATTGCTCCCGCCTTGGGACATGTCCTCATTCCCATTCCTAAAGCCTTAAGAAAGCAGAGTTTTCAGAAAGCACTGGAGACCCAGGAAGAACAAACTGCAACAGTTACAAAGAAAACCAAGTCCACACTCCAGCAAGCCAGGCCACCACAGTGGTCCTGCAAATCACCTGGGTTACGGCTGCCACACAAGCCCCGCAAGGAGGGGAGAGCAGAAGATGGGGCTGAGCTTCTCTTGCCTGAGTCAGGAGTCTGGCTCCTGTGAGGGAGGTGGAGAAGCAAAGGAGACAGCAGAAACACCAACATGACCACAGGAAGCTTGGGTGCACCAAGATGGAGTTCTCTGCAGACAGGGCTGCCTCTGTGCCACTGGCTGCCAACACCCCTCTTCACCCCCATGTGGGCTCCAACTCTTCAGAAAAGCCTCCCATACCCCAGTTCTTGAAGTGAACACTCCTTCAGAGAAGCTATCTGATTTCTTCAGAAGTCCATATAGGCACAGACGGCACCCATGGGAACAGGAGTGGATGTCAGAGATAACACGAGAACATATCCCCAGAGAATTGATGGAATCCTGGGGCGTGCACAGGATTTGGAATCAAAACGAAGTTTGTTTATACATAGCCCAAAGCACACAGGACCACTGTGTGTAGTCTGTCCCGGTGGTGAAGATGGGCCACACTCATAGGAACCTACTGCTGGGATTGTCTTCTCCCCGCCCTAAGACCCAGAAAGACCTGGAAAAGCACGTTTAGGTAGGACACGTATCGCAGATTTACTAATCTGGGATACTTTGCTTGATTGTCTGCTAAGGTCTTAGTGCCACAACAAATTCAGATGCATCAGGGAAACCTCCCAGATGCCTTGGTTTGTTCCATAGAATCTGAGATCAACAAGGTTTTATTAAGGTTGCATAGAGCAACGGTGACATGATTACATGAATTTGAGGAACCCTGAAATCAACAGGATTTTACACACAGAGCTCTAGTTTTCTGAATGCATCAGGATCCCCCTCGAGGGGAATACCATGTTTCTGGAACTCTTTTTACCATGAACCCTTTTATTGTACATCAGTCTTCCAAATCAGCATTCCAAAGAACAATGCATCTTAATATCATTTCACCCAGAAATGTTTCATGTATCATTTAAATTAAAAAAAGAGAGAGACTTTTTAGAGCAGTTTTAGGTTAACAGCAACATTGAGCAGAAAATATAATACTTGGCCTCTCTGGTGGGTAGTGCAGGGATTAAAGACTCAATGAGATCAAGCTATCTGCAGCCACTGCAGCATGAGTTCAATCCCCCACATGGTTCAGCAGACCTTTCCTGTCTCCCCTCTGCTCCCCTCAGCAGTGTATTTCAGTAGATCCTCCTATTCTGCTCCCCACTCTGTCTCTAGAAAGTCTTCTCACCACAAGCCACACCCCCACCACTCCCCACATCTCTGGCCTACACTCCAATTTTTATAGGCATAAATAAATCTTTAAAAAGAAAGTACAGCCCTCATAACCCCCTTCTCCCTGCAAATTCAATCCTACCATTTACCAAACAATGACGTCACTACCATGGACCCCATATGAGAAAGTTACTCATTCTGTGTTATTTCTCCCCCAAACCACATCTTTATTTCAACCATAAGAAAACAATGGCCAGACTCAAATTGAGGGATGTTCTACAAAATACCTGACC